TGACATGATAAAACTGAATACTTTGATTTTCGTCGAAATATGTTTTTCATCGTCCATTCTTCTATAAGGATGAAAATTGATACATTGACATTCTACTTTGTATTTTGTAACATGAGACTGTACATATCGGCTGTTTTATGAAAATAGAAACATGATATATCTTTGAATTTTTTCCCAATACAGATATGGCTCATGCTTTAAAACAATATTTGATTAGTGTAGCATTTTATTTTTCTTCTAGAGCTACCAAAGAAATTTCCTTTCTATATATGAGTATATAAGGTAATTCAAGAATCAGAGTATTAAACTCTTGATAATAGCACTAGGCGTAAGTAACTGTTCTCATCTCAACCAAACTTGCATATTTGGTTGTATAATTTTGGTCTTTCTCGACTTTCTTGTTGATAAAACTCAGTTTGGTAAGTTTTTGTGATAATGATATGTAATCTCTAGAGAAAGCGCTAAGTCTAGAGCACTCATGTACTGAGAAAGTGAATCTTTAGCATTGTTGAAGCGAGACGCATGTAATATTTACATTTATAGAGATAAAGGAACCTTTTCATTATTTTCAAAAAGAAGGTTACATTTCTGTTAATATAACAATGATATATGTTGTAGGCCACACCGTTTACAATTATCAAACAAATGATAATATTATATGAAAAGGCGAGCTAATAGATTTGACAACTCAGAAGAAACCTCTGTACACTGTCTTTGTTTTACGACATCGTACTTTTTAGCCACCTGTACGGGAAAATTGAGTACTTTGATTTTCGTCGAAATCCTTTTTATCGTCCATTCTTCCGTTAGCATGAAGATTAAAAAATAGAAATTATACACTGTATCCAAGCTCACAATAATACTCATTTGATGGTCGCAATGAGCCCTCGAAATGTTATATATAAACATATTTTGTCTGTTTCGTTTCGAGCCCAACGAAACTCATCGCGTTTCGAGCACTTGAAAATCACTCTATAGAAAAGCTGTGCTCGGTCTATCGGAGAATTATCGATATCTCATCATCTATTGATGTTTGAAGTATTCAAGAAAAATAGTCATTTCGGAAAAAACACGCTGAATACTTCAACACGAACCAATCTAAGATAACCACGGTCTCTAATATTGAAATCAAAATTCGATTTCATTTAACTCATTCAAGAAGACATTTACGTATCCATGTCTCATGTAACCAATTTAAGAATCGGATGAAGACTCTATTATGTTGCGATAAATTTTCAACAGTATTTTGACAGCATTTAATATCAAATAGCTTGAAAAGATTCAGCTACACGTATAATTGTATACTAAACACATTCAGATCTATAGTATTTTAGTAACTGTGTAAGTTTCAAAAAATAATGACTGTCTGTTTTTTTAAAAAATATTTATTCATCATTTTCATATATTTGTCTGCTTCTTCAAAAAAATATTTATTCTTTGTTGTCAAATATTTAATAGATTATTTGCATAGCATATAAAGTTGAAATGCATTGGCTCATGCCTTAAAACAATAGAATGTTAGTATATTATTCTATTTGTCTTCTGGAGTTACCAAGAAATTTCCTTTCTATGTATCAGTATATAAGATCATTCAAAAATTAGGATATTAAACTCCTAATAATAGTTCAAACTTATATCCTTGGTTGTATAATTCCGGTCTTTATCGGCTTCGCTCTTGATAGAGTTCAATTTGGTAAATGTTTTTGACAAAAATATATAATACTCAAATGTTAGGTCATTCTGATAAGTCAGTGACCAAACCGAACCAATTTTTCCGGATTTGACTTCAGTTCACTTCGCATTTGCTTTTGAAAACTCATTTGGGTTGTGTTCGTTTTCAACTTCTGCTAGCCAACTGGAATTGAAGTACCTTATATTGATATCTGCATTATATGAAATATTGCACCTTCGTTTCCTTTTGTGAACCATCGCTTTTCTATGGAGAAGAATGATTCGACATGAAAGATCTCCACGTCTAGGAACACTCTAAAAAAAAGTAAGTTTTTACGAAACCTCCAAAAAAGGTTTCGCAGACTTGAAAACGTTTCCAAATGCATCCTACTGCTTAAAAAACGAATATTCAGTTCTACGGAACATTTAAAGGTCTTTCCGCTGTATCTCCGGGAAGAACCTTTTATTGAACACCTTTTTTCCACTACGGAACTTAAAAAAAGATGTCGCAAAAATTTGGAACTTTCAGATTTCCATATGAAACCTTCAATGGTTTCAATCAAAACCAAAATTTGGCAAGGTTTATTGCGAAACATTTTTTTAGCTCCGTAGCGGGAAAAAATTTTTTCAATAAAAGATTCCTCCCGGGGATACAGGGGGGAAACCTTAAAAGATTCGGTAGAATCGAAAATTCTTTTTTTAAGCAGTAGGACGTATTTGAAAGTGTTTTCAAGTCTACGGAACCTTTTTGGGCGATTTTGTGAAAAACTTATTTTTTTAGAGTGTAGCATTAAGACACTAGTGTAGATTAATGAAAACAGTCCAATCAGGACTAATTAAGGCGCTCAAGTGTTTCACATCGGTTTTCCGTTGACACTTGAAGTGTTTGAATTTGATCTGAACTAACCGATCGAAATACTACGAAGCACCTCACTTATACAATTTATGTGTCTAAACTTCTTAGAGTGTAGTAAGAAACTTTCCACTATTTCGTAGAAGGAGCCCAGAGGTTTTATTTGTCCCATGAAACTATTAGATGTTTCAGAAAGCACATTATGGTTGATGCTATCGTGTACGACACCATTTATTGTTGCCCAAACTACGTGACGTTTTAGCATATGTGCTATGAAACCATGTGCGTTTCGTTCATGCTGCAAGCACCTTTTAGAGCACGTACGAAACTATAAATGGTTTCGTACAACTTCAACAGAACTTTTAGAGTATTTACGAAGCTATCAATGGTTTTGCAAAAGTTCCACGGAACTTTTCGATAGAAGTCGGAACTATTGCCATTTTCGCTCATCAGATATGATACCATGAAAAGTTTGACACGTGTCATTATTCCAAAATACCAGAATTTTCATAGAATTGTGAGCCCATCATTTTCATAATAAAAATTCTACATCTAAGAATTTCATGCCGTTCACTGTTCTTGTTTAGAATTACTAGAATTTTAGAAGTATTGGAATTTTAGAATTTTAGAATAATTAGAATATTGGAACTACTAGAATTTTAGAATTTTCGTAATTTTAGAATTGATGCGTTAGAATAATCGGAGTTGCGCGAGTAATATAGTTTTAGAGAGCTGAAAGTAACTTATCGTTTCAAATTTTCAGATCTTGAAGAAACTTTAGTTGTTGAGTTCGTAACAGTCATATTTTGAAGGTAGGGATGAATTCGAAGAATGTGAAATAACTGCAAGTATAATGTTATGCTTGATTTAGTGTATGTGGCCATGTATAATGTAAGACTTTTGGTTTATATAAACCTCTGAACTTGAGAAGCTTTGTTATTTTATCTAGTTTCATGTACAATTTTTTGCTCATTCGCATATGGTCTACGAAAGTTGGAAATTATTTATGTTTTGTTGCATTATGTTTTATCTTATGCCATACAGAGGTTCTCTCTGGTCCAACATGGGGTACATGTTTTTATTGTGGAGCATTAGGATAATGTAATCGTATAATATTTCGCTTCATTTCGTCTTTTTGATTCTGTCAAGAGGTGAGATTTCTCAACAGAATGTTAATATTTGATTTTCTAGGGAAAAGTTTTAAATCTTAATTAGCAGGAAAAAAATATGCTTCCAATTCTAAATGAATACCGCCGAATATCACCGTTGAAAAACAGGAGAAAGTTGATGATGCTGTTTTGTTTTAGTATCATGTGTCTGACATAAGATAATAGCTAGTGCAACAAACTTATCAACAATTTCCAACTTTGGTAGACTATACATGAATAAAAACTTACATATGAAGCTAAATAACGTAACAATGTTTCCCAAGCTCAAAAGTTTTTACATAGCAACAGTGTTACATTATAAATTGTCTCAAAAAATCAATCAAGCATAACGTCATACTTTGAATAATTTTACGTTCTTCCAATTCATTCCTACCTTCAAATTATGACTCTTACGAACACAACAACTATAGTTCCTTCAAGTTCTGAAATTTTAAAACTATAGGCTAGTGTCCCCTCTCTAAACTTATATTAATCGTGCAACTCCGATTATTCCAACGGTCCCTAAAATTCGGTCCTTATAAAATTTTATTTCCAAAATCTAATTAATACATACTTCGATAAATACACGATTTATAGTATTATGTAATTCCAAAATTCTAATAATTCTCAAATTTTAAAATTCTGATAATTCTAAAATTCCAAGAGTTCTAAAATTCTAATAATTCCAAAATTCTAAAATCCTGATAATTCTAAAATTCTAAAATACGAATAATTCTAAAATTCTAGTGGTTATAAATGAGAACAGCGAACGGCACGGAATCCTCAGATGTAGAATTTTGATTATGAAAATGACTGGTTTGGAATTCGATGAAAATTCTGGAATTTTGGGATAATGACACTGCTGGTATTCAAGCACATTATATATCAGCTAATGATAATGCAGTAATTTCATTTTAATGATAAAGCTACTCTGTGTGTTTTTCTTTTTAAAATCTCACTGAAACTTTCTTATCTTTGTAAGACTAACACACTTCATCGTCAAATTTAGATTAACAGATTATCTAGAATCTGAAACTCTATTCGATGTAGTGTTGATAATAACAATGTCCAACACCGAAATAACTTCGTCAATAGAATTTTCAACGCTCCTGGACTGTCCTACATTAGAAAAACAATTGAAAATATTAGAAAATGTATTGAACATATTAATCGACGAATACAATAAAAACATGAACGAAATTACTTTGGAGGCATATGTTGTTTTATTAACTAAAAATATTCGCGAACTTTTACATTCAAATTATGATTTATTGGTATCCACAGAATATAAGAAACGCAAGGAACTTATTGGTTTGATGTCAAAGCATATGGATTCCATATGGTTAGAACTAAAAAAACGCATAGCACTCACATCTCTAGATGAACTTAATGAACAATTATCAAATTTAGAACTGTTATGCAATACCGACTTCAATTTGAAGCTGTTAGATTTTGCTCGAAGTCGCCATGATTGTTTGACTAAATGGAATAATTATGAAGATGAACTGATATCATTAATTGAAAATATAAACAGATCGCTTGGCACAAATAATATTTTATTAGAAGAATTAGATGCGATTAAAAATGGAAAAAAAAGGATCGTTATCGCTTGTTTAGGTAGTCTGAAATCAGCCAAAAGCAGTTTTATTAACTTCCTTCTTGAAGAGGAAATATGTCCAATTGCAGATGAGGCAGCAACGGCTCGTCTCACTAAAATAACATATGGTGATCAAATAGAACTGATGTTGATAGCAAAAGAAAGTGAACCTAAGACGTTTCATTATGAAAGTTATGGTAAGCTTTTATCTGAAGCATATAAATACATTGTTCTTCCAACTGATCAACGGTCGCAAGGATGCAAAGATGAAATAATAATAAAAGTGCCTATTGAAGAATTAAGAGGTATTGAGTTATGGGATATACCAGGATTTGACGAAAGTCAAACGCTAGATAACCGTGTAAGAGATATTATTGTGGATGCCGATCTGATATTTGCTTTGATATCTTATACTGAGCACTTCAGGAGAACATTTCTCGACTTTGTTCAACAGTCACAAAGAGAAGATAAAAATGATTCTACGGCTAATCAATTAAATGAAATTAAGGGTATGCAAAAGATATGTTTTATCGTCACGAAAGTCGATCTATGGAAGATCAATGATCACACAGGAAAGAATCTCAACGATGTATTGAGTAACCTATTCGATATTTTGAAAAAAGAATTACCCCTTTACTTCGATACCACTGATATGGAGTCATGCACTAATTTTATACCAATGTGTACTCATCAAAGCCATAAGCATAAAGCGTTTCTGGAATCTCGAAAAATGTTCAGCATCAAGTCCAGTTCATGGTTTCAGAAGGGTGCTCAATACCTACAACTCTCGCGTTTAACGTACTTAATAGACGTTATTAAAAAGCTTTTTGACTATGGAGATTCAGAACGTATAATATATCGTTGCATAAAAATCAGGCCTTTC